AATATTCCTTTTAAACCTATCTTGCTTAGAGTATTCATCATGAAAATGTGTTGTATTTTGTCAAATGCTTTCTCAGCATCTATTGAGATAATCATAGGGTTTTTGTTCTTCCATTTTTTAAAGATTTATTTATTTACTTGAAAGTCAGAGTTACACAGAGAGAGAAGGAGAGGCAGAGAGAGAGAGAGAGGTCTTCCATCTGCTGGTTCACTCTCCAGAAGGCCGCAATGGCCAGAGCTGTGTTGATCCAAAGTCAGGAGCCGGAGCTTCTTCTGGGTCTTCCACATGGGTGTAGGGGCCCCAGGATTTGGGCCGTCTTCTACTGCTTTCCCAGGTCATAGCAGAGAGCTGGATCAGAAGTGGAGCAGCCGGGACTTGAACCAGCACCCATATGGGATCCTGGCACTTCAGGCAGTGGCTTTACCCACTACACCACAGCACTGGCCCCTCTTCCATTTGTTAATGTGATGTATTGATTGATTTGCGGATGTTGAACCTTCCCTACATACCTGGGATAAATCCCACTTGGTCCGGGTGAATGATCTTTTTGATGTGTTCTTGGATTTGATTGGCCAGAATTTTGTTGAGGATTTTTGAATCTATGTTCATTAGGGAAACTGGTCCATAGTTCTCTTTCTCTTTTGTGTCTTTTCTGGGTTTAGGAATTAAGGTGATGCTGGCTTCATAGAATAATTTGGGATGGTTCCCTCCCTTACAATTGCTTTGAATAACTTGAGAAGAATATGAGTAGTTCTTCTTTAAATGTCTGGTAGAATTCAACAGTGAAGCCATCTGGTCCTTGGCTTTCCTTTGTTGGTAGGGTCTTCATTATTGATTCAGTTTCCGTTTTAGTTATGGTTCTGTTTAGGTTTTCTATGTATTTATGGTTCAATTTAGGTAGATCATATGTGTCTTGGAATCTATCCATTTCTTCTATGTGTCCCCATTTGTTGGCATAAAGCTCTTTGTAGTAATTTCTGATGACTTTTTATTTCTATGGTGTCTGTTGTTATATTTCCTTTTTAATCTTTAATTTTATTGATTTGGGTATTATCTCTCATTTTTTTGCTTAGTTGATTCAATGGTGTGCCAATTTTGTTCATTTATTCAAAAAAAGCACCTCTTCATTTTGCTTATCTTTTGTATTGCTTTCTTGGTTTCAATTTTGTTGATATCTTCCTAATTCTAATTATTTCTTTTCTCCTACTTGTTTTGGGTTTAGCTTGCCATTGTTTTTCTAGATCCTTGAGGTGCATAGACAGTTCATTTATTTGTTTTTTTCCAAATTTCTTAATGTAGGCACCAAATTTATAAACTTACTCTTAACACTGTTTGTTGTATCCCATGAATTTTGGCATGTTGTATTGTTGTCTTCATTTGTTTCTAGAACTTTTTTCAATTTCTCTCTGATTTATTCTATGACTCATTGTTCATTCAAGAGCATCTTGTTCAGTTTCCATGTGTTTCTTTATGTTCTGGAGATTCCCGAATTCCTAATTTCCAGCTTCATTTCATTGTGGTATAAGAAGATGTTTGGTATTATTTCAATTTTTTTTTAATTTGCTGAGACTTGCTTTATGGCCTAGCATGTGGTCAATCTTAGAGAAAGCTCTATGCACTGGTGAGAAGAATGTGTATTCTGTGGCTCTAGGGTGGAAGGCTCTGTAGGAATCTGCTAGGTTTATTTCGTCTATGTGTTGGTTAACTTTGTTGTTTCCTTGTTGATTTTCTGTCTGGTTGATCTGTCCATTGTTGAAAGTGGGGTATTCTTGCAAGCTAACTTTTCTACACTCATTTTAGAATCAACATTCTAATTTTGTAAAAGAAAAATTATTAAAATTTTAACAGCATCTCATTTCTTGTGTAAATTCATTTAGGAAAGAACTGACATATTTAAGTTTGATTCTTTATCTCCCAAAATAGAGTTTATATCTTTTTATTTATTCAAATTTCCTTTGTGTCCTTCAGTATTTTTGTAATTTTTATAGAAATATTGCATGCATTTTAAGGTCTATTGATTTGCTCTCTCTGTCTGTCCTTCCTTGTTTCTCTCCTTTCTTCTCTCCTCTGTCCCATCTCCCCTCAGTTTTCCTTCCCTTCCACACTGCCACCCTCATTATATTTTCTTCTTTATTTTTCCCTACTGTAAATAAGATCTTTTCTTTTAGTATATTTTCTAATGGGTGATTTTTGAAATGAAAGTTATTGATTTTTAAGATTCACATAATTTAGATGAAAAAATATACTAATAAATAAATTTATTAATAGATGTCTATTTTAAAGAATTATAAAAATTTGAATGTTCATATACCTTGCTATAGGCTTCAGAAATATAACACACTGGTGCTTTTGAAGCCTCTTCTATATTCTTACAAAATGTTTCTACTGTATTTTTGTGTTTTACTTATTTAGTTAAAATACTTAATATATTATGGACAGTAATATAGCTCTGATATACAAGTTACAAATATTGCTAGTAGCTTCTTTGAATTTCATATATTTTGCTTTCACCTTTGCTTATGTAGATATTATCCTACATTTACTTTTAATTTTGTAATTTAATTTTGTAAATTTAAGATTTTTAAATTTGCATTTCATATTTACCTTGCTTAACTTACATAGAATTAATTTTTGTATAGGATATCAAGTAAGGATCTGTGTGTGTGCTTATGTGCTTTCCCAAGCACCTTTATTAAATAGGCCATCACTTTATGATCTGATACTCACTACTAGTTCTGATACACTTTTAAGTATGTATGTGTGTGGATCTGTTCCTAGGTCTTCTTCCTATTCCCCAGTTCTGTTTTTCCTTTCTTGAATGAGTAACATGGTGTCTAAAATTCTATAGCTTTATTATAAATCTTTTTTAAAAGACTGATTTATTTATTTGAAAGGTAGAGTTACAGAGAGAAAGAAAAAAGAAAGAGAGATCTTCCATTTGTTGGTTCACTCCCTAAATGGCTGCAATGGTCAGGGCTGGGCCAGGCAAATGAGGAGTCAGGAGTTTCATTCAGGTATCCTATATGGATATAGGAATCAAGGCACTTGGACTATCTTCTGCTGCTTTCTTCTGTGCATTAGCAGGGAACTGGATTAGAAGTGGAGCAACTGAGACTAGTACTGGTGCCCATATGGAATACTGGCATTGCAGACAATGATTAAACTGCTGTGCCACAATGACAGTATACATAATAAATCTTTATTTTTGCTGGTTATAGTTTTGTCAAATGTAACTCTCGAGTAACAACTCATCAACTTTTTTGTTGATGCTATTCTATATTTTAGAGTTGAATACTAAAGCAAAGTCTAATTCCTGACTTTTATTTAACTGATAGGTGACTTCTTTTCCTAAGTATTCAAAGAATTGTTTAATTCTGAAGTTCCATAACTTTATCAAGAAATGTGTTATATTCTCCATAAACTATTTCTTGAAATATGTTATACCATCTAAGTATGTTTAATGAATTTTTTATTTCTTAAATGAATTTTTCCTTTTGTAATTAATTTCTCTTCTTCAGGGATATAATTTAAATCTATTTCCTTTTTCACCCATCTTTTGTATCATTGCTCTCACATTTTTAGCACCCTTCCTTGCTGGTTTACATTTCACTTTGCATGCATTCCTCAGCTCTATATTCTTTGTCCCTTAAAGGGTTGTCAAAAAAAAAAAAAAACTATTTTCACTTTTGCTGATTACTATGTAGTTTTCTTTTTCTGTGATGGTTTTGTAGTTTTTCTTCCATTTTTCTTCTAACTTTGAAGTGCTGATTTTTTAATGTTCTCCCTTATACATAGCATTATAGGCAATGCTATTTCCTGTATAATAATGCTGTGGCATTGTGGGTAAAGCTGCCACCTGTGGTGCCATCATCTCATATGGATGTCAGTTTGAGTCCTAGCTGCTCCACTTCCAATCCAGCTCCCTGCTGATGTGCCTAGGAAAGCAGCAGAAGATGGCCCAACTCCTAGGTCCTTTGCACCCAAGGAAAACCTAGAGGAAACTCCTGGCTTCGGATTGGCCCAGGTCTAGCAGTTGGAGAACTTTAGAGAGTGAACCAGTGGATGGAAGAGCTCTCTGTCTCTCCCTCTCTCTCTGTAACTCTGCCTTTCAAATAAATAGTCATAAAAATTACTTATGTTCGGATCTTGAAAATGTTACATGCAGAAATTTAGTTATGAAAAGTTAGGGTAGAATTCAGGATCGTAGGAATGTTTTTCTGGTTTGAAATAAAGTTCTTATGACACAGGGTTTTTCTTGGATGTGTGGGCATATGTTTCTTTACTTGGATTAACATAGAAAAAGAGCTCTGATGCCAATCATAATTCAACTTGTCACCTCTTCTTACTGATTCACTCCCTGCAAGTATTTCCTCATTCTTTCTCCCCTCTGTTATCCCATGGTGTCAGACAGGGAAGGAGAGATTCCACTACCAAGTTGCGAGTTCCAAAATAAGACATTATTTGTTTTAATCTTCCCAGTGAACATCTAGTGGAAACAAACTACTTGGTCAGTTTGTGCAAGATCAAAAAGTTTTGTTGTCTTCCCTCAGTGTCTTTTTGGACTTAACCCACCCCAGTTTTTATTTGACAAAACTTTATTGGATTTGGTAACTCTCATTTGTTGTAGTTTATGATTATACATGTCCACATTTCATTGACAATGCTGTTTGAATGTATTTTTAGACTACAGTTATTCTTTGCATAGTAAATTTTAAGTGGGGGAGGGGGAATGATGAGCAGTAGTATGTCACTTTCTTAAATTTCAAAATCCATCCTCTGGAACATAATTTGTATAATGTAATCACACAGCAATACTCACTGAGTACTACAAAAATAGGACTCTTCCCAAGTCACATATGACTCTATTCATTATAGATATTACCATGAAAGGGGCCATCCATCAATATTTTAAAAATCATATTTTAAGGAAAACTTTCATTTGCTGTCCTACTCTGAAAATTCCAAAACAAATTAGGAAATGAGAATAGAATTTTATTTACCTATTAAAATAAGTGCTCCTCTCTTCAGATATGTTCGTGAGCTCCCCAGGAATCCTAAGGTATCAGATATCAAATCTGTAATGTAGCTCTCATGGGAAATAATCTGAGAATAAAAAGGAAAAACACATCGTGTCAACTGCCGAGAAAGCCAGTTTGCTGTCTCCGGAGGGGCTTCAGGAGAGAAGAAGTTGGTTCTCTATACCATCTTGGAGAGAATTTGACATTTGGGGATTTTCATGTGTAGGCTCTACGCTTTGGCTAGCAGGTAGTATTCTCCTTATGACTTGAATCCCAAACCAAATATTTTATCTTCAATCATTGATTAGTCTTTGTCCACTTCCACTGTTTCTGTAATGCTTGTGGGTTTTCACGGCACCAGCTATGAAACAGTAGCCAAATAATATCCCTTTTGGTGATCTGTAGTGTTCTTCCTACCTTTATTAACATCCATAGCTCAAAGGAGATTAATTGAAGGAACAAGAGAAGATCATCAACGTTTGGAAAGATCAAGTGGAAAAATCTAAGTTTTCCCATGTAAAGCTTTAGCTGTAGTCACTTATTATCATTTCCTCACATTCTTTCTCTAAGATCCACCTTTCCCATTCAGGATTTTTTTAACAATTTACATGGCCTTTTAAATTTGTCTGTAACTTTTACGGTGATAAAAACAGGAACACTTACAAGATTGTTACAGATGTTGAGCACCACCATCTCAAAATTGAACTTTTTATCCTTTTGGAAATAGGAAGTTGACCACTTTAATTGTGAGGCACATATTTCCAGTGTGTATTTACATGCCTTTGAGACAGAAACAGGTCAGTGAGGATTTTTTCATCAGCTCATCTATAAAACATTGTGATTTTCTGCAAAATTAAGAAAAAAATACCAAAAGGACTTACCTTAACTACTCTTATCTCTACATCCTCCAAGAACAGGATAAGGGGCACCAAAGCTCCGAGGACCACAGGGCTCAGCATCCACATGTACTGACTCATATCCCTGAGTAATTCGCCGAAATGCCGAATGGCCATGCTCCGAATACCTCCATTGCTCTGAAATGTGCACCCAGAAAAAGTGAAAGGTCTCATTTGAGGGTATTAGGGCTTCTTTCTTTCCTTAGTGATATATATTGAAATTATTCTCATTTTTTAAAAATGGTTTACCTTGGGACCGGCACCGTGGCTCACTTGGTTAATCCTCCGCCTCGGCGCCGGCATCCCATATGGGTGCCGGGTTCTAGTCCTGGTTGCTCCTCTTCCAGTCCAGCTCTCTGCTGTGGCCTAGGAAGGCAGTGGAGGATAGCCCAAGTACTCAGGCCCCTGCACCCGCATGGGAGACCAGGAGGAAGTACCTAGCTCCTGGCTTCGGATCGGTGTAGTTCTGGCCATAGGGGCCATTTTGGGGGTGAACCAATGAAAGGAAGACCTTTCTCTGTGTCTCGCTCTCTCACTGTCTAACTCTATCTGCCCCCCCCCAAAAGATTTACCTTATGTTTAAGCAGTCAACACTTCATTTTGTTTGAGTTTTTTAAAAAAATTCTTTATTTGACAGAGTGAGACAGGGCGGACACAAAGAAAAGATGGGTGGAGAAATAGCTAAGCAATAGGGA